CTGAGGAATTCTGGGAGTTGAAGTCCACAAGTCTTAAAGTTGCCAAGGTTGGACACCCCTGATCTAAAGCGTCAGATAAAAACCACTGTATTTTGCTGTGAGTTGGACTCTGGCTAGGCAGACTCGTTAGGTGCAGACGCATCTGAGCCTTGTTATGTGGGAATTGAGCTGGTTACTCTTGGGGAAGAGGAGATTAGATTAGTTGTGTGAGTTCAGCCACTTGTGTTCTGGATCCATGGCCCTCCTGGATGGTTAAGGCCTCCCGTGAGGTGGCATGTGGCTAAGTCCAACTAATAATTCATACCTCCAAAATGGACGATTCGCTGCAAGAGTTAAGGTAGTGCAAAATACGCATTTGCCTCTATTCTATCTAGACGTTTATTACGTCGAAACAAGAGGCGTCCCTCAAGACCACGGGCAATCCTCTTGACCCGCCCCGGAAAGCGAATGATTGGAGCCGCCTCGCCTTAAAAAGAAAGTAAAACAAACCCACTGCCGCCCTCAGACTGCTTCTCGCTTCTGAGAAGACGTGTAGGGCGAACGGCACAGCTCGGCCAAACTTTTCTCGGAGGTGCCAAACTTTTCTCGGACGAGCTTTTTCGAGAAGCTTCCTCAGCTTCTCTGGATGAGGAGCGAAAGAAAAGAACAACCACGAAACACCTTTGGGACCAACCATAACTTGGACGACGGAGAACATCCATAGATAATTTCTCGGCGGAGTGAAGAAACAAAGAGCTTCGGGTGGAGCCCAATCGGAGCTTAGGAGGCAGAACGACGCGAACAGCGAAACCAATAGGAAAGTGTCTTGTGCTGCGATGGCGGAGACGGTAAACAGGAGGCGGGCGGAAAGGGATTTGACGGAATTGAGGGAAACGGGGATGAAATCTTGGCCTCGGGGTGATGGCCCTTCGGTGTTTCTCGCCCCTCCCCAACAGGCGTACACTGTAAGCAGCGACTCGGAGCCAGAAGGGACCCCCAAGAAGCCTTTACCCAAGCGACGCCGCTTTCTCACCAGCAGCGTCTCCATCCCGGTCTATTCGACCAAGGTAAGCGCCGGCGGGGTGACTTTTAAGGGGTGCACAACATCGTTTTTCCCCCTTCCCCTCCTCCCAAGTTCGCGCTGTCCGTTAGTTTCTTCTGCCCCGATATCAACACATTTCTGACTTTTAACTACAAAAATACTGGGCTCAGTTGTGGAGGACTACCACCTTCTCAAACCCAGTTTCTCAGGGAGATAAAATTGTCAGGTTAAGTTTTTTAATTGGAAAATAGGTGATTAGGAACAGCTGGGCCTGCAGGGAGGCTTGCAGGCAGATAATGAAGGTATCAATTCTTACTCAGACTGCATAACTTAGGAATCTGTTGTTTTTGTTATGCCAACCTCGGTCCTTCAATGTCTTTATCACAGTACATTTCCAGTTAATTTTTTTTTACACTTTATTATATGTATTCTAATTAATGTAAATCTGTATAATGAGGCTGAGAGCCAGTTTGGTGCAGTGGTTTAAAGGCATTGGAATAGAAATCAGACTGGTTTAGGCATGAAATCAGGTCTCAGCCCTAGGAAAAAAGTAATGACAGGCCACTATTGAAAAGCTTTCCAAAAATGTGTTTGGGGATATGTATGAACATATCAGATCATCACAGATGATCAGCACTAACTCAAAGACGTGTATATATAAAACATGTATATATCTAAAAATGAGATTGTTAGCCTCTGCTGCTGCTTCTGTATGGAAAAAAATGTGTCTGATCTCATTAAATAATTCAATGAAAAGGTTTATTTAGCTTGCAAACATATTGGTGATTCCTAACAGATTCCTAACAGATTCCTAAGTTATGCAGTCTGAGTAAGAATTGATACCTTCATTATCTGCCTGCAAGCCTCCCTGCAGGCCCAGCTGTTCCTAATCACCTATTTTCCAAGAGGGAGCTTAATTTAATGACTATTCATTGCATAGCCCCCAGTATTGGGTGTTTGCCAGTTTTCCTCTATTTTTATGTTGTCCCTTATATCAGGGGTCTCCAACATTGGCAACTTTACGACTTGTGGACTTCAACTCCCAGAATTCTTCAACCAGCTTTGCTGGGAGTTGAAGTCCACAAGTTGTAAAGTTGCCAAGATTGGAGACCCTTGCCTTATGCTACCGGGAAAAATAGTGTCCTTTCCCAAATTTTTGTTTACTCTTTGCAAAACTGACAGAAGAATCCATCTCACGTGTAACTTGCAACATGTGAAACCAACCTTCTACCTTATGGTCATCCCTGTACTGTTCTTGGCAACAGTATATACATTATTTGCCACTGCTATCTTTTGAAGGTTTTTCTCTTTCCACTGTCTACTCTAGAGCCATGAGATTTCTTAGTGATCTCCCTTTCAGATACTAACCAAGTCTGGCCATGCTTAGCCTTTTAAGCTTCGTCTCCTGCTTTCCAGCTTTGCTTTAACTACTGGTACTACTCCAAACTGGCTCTTGACTTCTCAAGATAAGCCAAATATTTCTAGCTGCTGCTGCCTTATTAGAGAATTTGTCAGAAGCACAACATATGCAGATTAAGAAAGCTGATGAAATTTGACTTACAACCACAGTTGGGACTACAGTCTTGGTCATTGAGCAAAGCAGTTGTTAAGTGAGGTGCCTACGTGGATTGTTAAGCAGATAGAGTAAGAGAGCTGCCTGCAAAGGAAACTGATGGGGTGCAGGGAGGGTTCAGTTCTTAGTGATCTGAGCTTCTTTTCTGTAACCTAATGAAAATTTTCCCTTCACCTCCATGCACAGAAAGGAACTTATGCAGCAGACTGCAGAAAGGAAGTTCAGATCTTTGGAATTTAAGCTTTATTGCTACAGCTGGTTGGAAGAGTTCCTCTACCCCTCAGCAGGCAGGTCTTTCACCTCAAAGGGAATGCCTTTTGGGAGTGGCGGGGAATCTCAGGTCCATACGGAGGTGGGATTCCCTCCTGGCTGAGATTCCCTCTTGGCAGATAGTCCTGTCACTCTGAAAGAATTGCCAACCTAGAGAGAATTTCAGCTCAGTGGCAGCAGCTTCTAAACTTCCTTACCATCTTCTCCATTGACTTTCTGGGGAAGCCAGGAGAGATTATTTCAAATGGCAATCACATTTTGTGGGGAGCTTGGCAACCAATTGTAACTGTAAATAGGTTGCCAAGCACCCAGATCATTATTATGTGATTGTGGGGTTTGCATGTGTGCAACATTTTACAACAGCCAGAAGTGCTTTAGGAGCTGTAAAGCACTCTTCAAGCCATTCTAGCTTTGAGTTGTTTGATCATGTCAAGAATTATCTAGACCTAATTTAATCTGGATATATGCTGTATGTAAAAAGGATGTTAGTGAATCATGAGCTGGATATGAGCCAGCAGAGAGAGAATGTAACTACAGTCAGGTTCTATTATTAAAAGCATGATGTCCAGATAACAGAAAACGTGATTTAGCGCTCAGGATACATTCTTTTTTCTTTTAAAAGAGCTGCTGATTATCTGAACTATTTTTAAAAACCTCTGGATGTTTTGTAAAGAGAAGGGCATTGTAATTCTTTACAGTATACTCTTAATGTTGCCCTCAAACTTACCTTTGTTATCTTCCATTATTGTCAGGTTTGCTCCTTATTATCATTAGTACCCTTCGTTGAAGAGATGCAAAGAACCATAGCATCCCATTTTTACTGTGATGGATCATTCATCTGGATATACTAGTATCACTGACTTCTACACATCTAGTGACTAATTCTTGTTTCTGTCTAGTAATTTGATATATTCTCCCCCTCCCCCAATCCTTTTGTTTTTTTATCTGCAGGTTCAGAACAGCCTAAAATTGTTAAAAAATTCCCTGAAGCTTCCTGATAAAATCAAAGAGCGCTGTAATAAGAATCTGCCCTTTAGCTCAGAAGACGAAGACGAAGATGAAGAGGAAAAGCCAATTCCTTTAAAGCAATTGAAGAATAAACCAAGGTTTCAGTTCTCTTCTGCTTGACTTTCCAGAAAAGCTGCATTTAAACCATTACTTTGTCTGTTCTCCTTTTGACAGATATCAAGATCTTTCATGTTCCCCTTCACCTCCTCCATAGCAAAATAAGGGTCATGTCAAAACCCAATAAGAAATTGGTATTTCTGGAAATGAGGTGGAAGTGTACTGGATTGATAAGAGGAGGAACAAAAACTTTAGGAAGGATTGTGGTTTCCGGGAATAATTGATTTAAATTGGTGGTTTCTTTCCCTACCTTGCTCCAGCTAGCAGAAGCCATCACATCAGTTTGAACTAACATGGTGTGTTAGCTTAAGGTGCTTCAGATAGCTCAGCAATTATTTAATGTGCATAGGAAGAGAGTTGGCAGGTGGTAGTAAGCGGCACATTTTGACTAAGTTTGTTATCTGAATGGAGCAAATCAAGTCCAGTAAAGATTTTGCTGATCTACATCTGTTGATATCATAATCTCCTTTGATACCAATTAAAAATCAGCATGAACACAGCAATATTGTGCTGAAAGTAATAATCATACAGGGTTGGAGAGATGGTTATATCCTATATTTATAATACAGCGACATACAGGATTTCAGTGAATTGGCTGGTGTAGCTGATAAGGCTGGACCATGGCAAGCTATTCTTTGTGTATTTAGCTTGCTAAATTGCCAATTTGGTTAATACTTTGAGCTCTTAAATTCTTAAGAGCTGGGGAGGAGGACTGGTTTCTTGGTGAGCTTAGGTTAGGAATTACAGAATAATACAAATAGTTCTAGACTCAACCATTCGATTAGTGACTATTTGAAGTTACATCAGCATTGGAAAAAACTGACTTAATCTTTTCCCACACAACATCCCCACAATCATGTAATCAAAATTTGAGTGCTTGGCAACCAGGATGTATTTATGATAGTTGTGAGGTCCCAGGGTGAAGTGATTGCTGTTAGCAATTTTTGCAGTTGGCTTCCAACAAACAAAATCAGGGAAGCTGGATTTACTTAATGCTCACCTAAGTGCAGTGATTTGATTAATTGGATGTGACAGTTACCTTGCTTAATAATGGAAATCGTGGTTGTAAGTTAAGGACTACTTCTATACCATTTCATCTTTACCTTCAGACAGTATTTTTAGAGCAGCCTTATAAAAAGGCTAAACTGGTTCATGTTTTAACAAAAAAGGGTATGAAGGAAGCAAATTAATTCATGAAGGGTTCCAAGTCAAATATGTGAAATGGGTCTGTCTGTACTAACCTCCCCATTTCCAATTCTTCTGTATATGTTGGACTTGGGGGACGATGGAAGGTATGGGAATTGTGTTCCAAAAGTTTAGAGAAATATTAAATTGGGAGAGACTGTTGTGGCTCACTGTCTCTTGGAACAAACACCTTGTCTTTTCCATGCCAGAAATTTTATGAAAGCCTGCTTTTTGGAGGCTTACATAATATCTGTACAAATAATTCTTAATTTCAGGATGCCTTATGTAGGTGATAACACCCCCATAATACCTTACGAAGAATAAAAAAGTGAGATGACTGTTTTTCAGTTACAACTTTTGCAGCATCCGCATGGTCACATGATCAAAATTCAGATGCTTGGCAATTGACTCATATTTATGACTGTTGTAGTGTCCTATGATCATGTGGTCTCCTTTTGCTACCTTTTGATAAACAAACTCAATGGGGAAGCCAGATTCACTTATGTTATTAACAACTGCAGTGATTCACTTAACTGTTGCAAGAAAGGTTGTAAAATGGAGCAAAATTCACTTAACAAATGTTTCACTTAGCAACAAATGGGCTCAATTGTAGTTATAAGTCAAGGGCTACTTGTATGCATTGGAATCAGTAATTTTCAGTGCTGTTGTAACTTTGGTCACTAAATGAACTGTTGTAAGTTGAGGATCACCTGTATTTTCTTGAATGTTATATTCATGTCAACATAAACATACTGCTTCTTTAAAGTACTGTCAGATACAAAAGGTTTCCATAACAGATCCCAAGTATCTTTGCCTGCTTCAAACTAAATACAACATACCTCTAAATAATGGCATAATGGCATCTTAAGGCAAAACCCAGCATATGGATTTCTCACTCAAGCTTTTCCTTGCTTTCTCAGAATGTTTGATCAGAATTTCAAAAATTTGAGCATGTCCCTCTCAGCTGCTAAGAAGAGCTTGCAGGATCAGGGATTTGATGAGGATGATGTAATTCTGGTTGATGCATTTGAACCCCGGGAGCTGATGCTGAAAGTCCGATGCCGAGCTGATATCTACAAAATCTGTATTCTAATGGTGTGAGGCTTTGGTATTTGATATCTTATCTCTATTCACTTCCCTTTGCTGTCATAATGTGGGCTTTTTTTCTCCCCCCCCCCCCCCCCCCCGCACTTGTCTAAGAATCAATCCTAACATCTGCAATAGAGACTGGTTTTTTTATGAGCTTCAACACAAGAGACAGCCATCTTGGGTTTTGGAATCTTATTTTTCACTGTTGGATATTCCCCAACTAATAGATGGACCTTTGTATACAATCCTGCCTAAATCCATCCATTCTGTAACAATGAAACAAAATGATGGGCAACAATTTTTGAATTGGGAAGTAATGTCACTGAGGAGGATCTGACATCTTTCTCAGGATCCTATTCTATTCTATTCTCTTAATCTTATTCTCTTAAAACTACTTTTATTTATTACTGTTTTTAAAACAACAGAAAAAAGACAAAAGGAACAAAACAAACATAATGGTGATAAAAATACATTATCAAACTAAAAAGTGCATAAGTGCTTTAGAAAACAACTAAAAAGGAAATAAAGTATAACATTACAATAGTAAACAGTCTGTGCATTTATCTAATGCAAATATGCAAGTATGTTCATATTGTCACATCTTTGGTCCACTGGGTGACTGGTGACATATATTTATTGTCCCAATGCTGCTTGTAGCTGTGGTTAAGGGCAGAGAGAATCCTTGTGCTCTAACACAGCTACTTAACTTCTTCTTCTGTAGACAGAGCCTCTTCAGCGAGTGGTTGACCGCATGTCACAAATACTGAAGGTTCATCCAAGTAGAATCCTGCTCCTGCATTATGATAGTGAACTTTCAGTTGATGCTACTCCTGCTAAGTTGGACCTTGGCGTTGCTGACATCATCGGTAAATAGTTTAGGGATTTTTTTTTTTTTTTTACTTCAGATCATCATTACTTCCAGTCTCATTGTTTTAAATTCCTCAAACCTTTTGCCTCCCAAATGAATTAAACTTCTGTACTGTCCAATATTTTACAGCTATTTTCTTGTGTTCTCCCTACTATATTATCTAAACCTGTTTTTTTTTTTTTCAAAATTAGAACTACTGCAAGGTTTGGGAGATACTAAATTCTAATCTCCCTTCAGCTACATACTCTTATTGTTGTGGCCCAGCTCTACCTTTATGGGGCAACTGATGAGGATAATATTGGGGTAAATCATTATTTTGCTGTTTTGAACTCCATGGAGAAAAAAATAAAATAAATGTTCTCTGTTGGACGACTTCCAGATTGTATAGTGGAGACCAGTAAACAACGGGCTGATGATCCTGGAATCCTGTTGCTTCGAGTACAAGGAAAGGACAGACGTTCTGTGATGGAGATTACAATCCAGAAGGTAAAGGAACTAAGATCTGGATTGTAGGATTTCTTTTGTGAAGAAGCAATACAATATTGTAATTATGTTCTCCTTTTTGTAGGGGGAGCCCTTAGAAACCCTTATGAATCACTACAAAGAAGCTCAAGGTCTTGGCAGATCTAAAGTTGTCTTCTATTTTGATGGGCAGCGTTTGATAGAAACTCTGACCCCTGAACAATTGGGGATGGAATCTGGTGATGTTATTGAAATGTGGAACTAGCATCGTTGCATTTGCAAAGAATCCATGTTTAGAATTGATTATTTTTTTATATTTGCCCACTCTTGAGTGACTCACCTGTATTCAGTGTGATATTTGATATTTACCCACAGTATTTGATATTTACTCACTCTTAGTGACTCACTACTTTCCTTGATTTAATTTTCACTGAGTCTGATATCTAAGTGGGAAATGGCAGTTTAATTTTTTGAGAAAATAAACACAGGACACTTTTCACTTTATTATCTCCTATACTCAAAATTTTGAATAATAAAATTTAATTTTGTTAACTGGTTCTGTTGCTTGTAGACAAACTTTGTAGAGGAATAAAGATGGATATTAAGAGAATACTATGTTCTTAATAATTCTTCAATAATTATTAATAACACTATAACAAAAATTATTTGCCTATCCCAGGTTCTTGGGAAGGATTTGATAGGTGGATAAAAATGCCAAACGCAATCTAAATAACTAGCTGACTTCAACCAACTGTAATAATACAAAGACTGCACAACAGAAGTGAAAGAATTGGAGCATATCCAAAATATAAAGTCCTGTAAGGATAAATAAAACGATAAAAGTAAGCAAAGATATGACTAATAGTAATAGCAATAAGACATATATTGATTCACAATGCTTTACAGTCCTCTCTAAGCAGTTTAGAGTCAGCATATTGCCATCAACAATTTTTGTCCTCATTTTGCCAACATCAGAAGGATGGAAGGCTGAGTCAACCTTGTGCTGGTCAGGATTGAACTGCCGGACTGCTGGTAGCAGGGAGTCAGCAGAAGTAGCCTGCACTACTGTATTCTAACCACTGCGCCACCACTACTCATAATAGATACCTTGATTGCAATTCCAAAACCAGGAACATTACTTGAATACTACTGGCATTAACAAAATCACCAGTCAATTGGAAAACGCATCTTGGAATAGCTTACATCCTTGGAATAGCTTACATCCTGTGACAATATTTAATATTATTACACAACATCTGTCTATTCTTGGGAAGGACTGTAAGTGGACAAAAATGCCAAATCCAGTCTAAACAGCTGGCTGTTTAACTAATCATAATATGAAAAACAAAGCAGTACAGTCCCAATATTACATTTTCTTAACTTTCCATGCTATTAATAACCAGTATAATCACATCAATTAGAAAATTTTGGACTGTATGTTTCCCAAATTGCTCAATAGATCTAATTCTGCTGTCTTGGATAAACGTGTTTCCATTTAGGTACTTTCTGTTACTTATTTCTCATAATCCCCAAGCATGGTGATTTGGAGTTCAACACAACTGAAAAAATATCTCATTGTGTAGAGCTGAAATCCTAGTAACTCCACAGGGATACATTTGTTTTTCTTGACAACGCTATCGAAATGTTACCATTATGTTGACTTTTTTCTAGTTTAGTCACCGAATCCCGATATTTTCTAGTAGATTCCCACAGAAGTGCTAATCAGTTGACCATCCTTAGCTTGTCAATAGCGCTGATCAGGTGCTGGCCTCCAATAAGGCATGGGGAGAATACCAACTTGGAAGAAAATCTGCTTATGCTCAAAATGTATCTACGTAGTGATTGGTACTGTACTCTTCAATAAAACAGCTGACATTTTTAAAGAAAGGTAAATCATTGCATGTAGAAAATGTTTTAATTTATGGACAGCTAATAACTGATGTTGAAAAATAACATTCCAAACTTGTATGTAATCTAAGACAAAAAGCCTTTCCTACCTTTTCCCCCTCTTGTGGGATATTCATACAGACAATGGGTTTTCTTTTGTTTTGTATACTTAGCCATTTTTTTATTTTTTAATCATAATTTGCAGAACTTCTGTAAACCACAGTGAATATACCAAAAACCCAAACACTTAAGGAGTTCTATAGGAATCTCTTTTTGCCTCTATCTGTCTTGAATTCCTTTCTCTTGGGCAATTTAAATTATACAATATCCTGAAAGAAATAATTCAGGAACAGCATAGGTGCTGGAGATGTATTTTGCCTGCCTTCAAGCAAATTCTAGTTAGATATAAAGCTCTTCATATACAGATTCAAAGCTGTAAATATGAAAAAGAAAAACTTTATTTTGAAGGGGAATATTCACAAAAATGATGAAAACTCTTATTCATAATTACCTATGAAAACAAGCTTCATTCTTTGCTCATACCTTGAATAAATCATACTTACACAACATAAACTTCTATGAAGATATTTTTATATGAATTAAAGTTACTGGTACCACAATGGTTTAGTTTTATGTAACCAACAGCTGGAAATGGTTAACCAGCAGTTTTGGGACAATACATAGAGGGCATGTTTCTATTGCCAAATTAACTAAAATTAATGCTAAGTCTGTATCTTTATTAGTCCAACAGGTTTACAATAATTGTAAATTGTAAGCCTCCAGCTACACTAAACAATTTGTGTTCTTGCTCCCATCCGCCCCATCATCAACATTCTCCCTTTTTTAAAAATTGTGACTTGCCAAACCATGCCATTTAAAATGATTGAGATGGCTTTGTAACTTGAGAGAGATGCGATAACGGAGAAAGCCAGGACAAAACTGGTAGTAATAAAATTAAATGTGATATTTTGTAAATTAGGGCACACTGAATGTCATAGAGACAGTGCGACGGAAGGAAACAGAGCTGGGCAGAAAGTAATGCTGCGTAACCATAACAACCAACAAAGACAGGCTACCCGTTGCTCGAGGAGAGAAGTTAGGAGGAGCCTGCGCCAGGGCTGCTGAGGAACGCAACAAAAACTGCCATTTTCCTTTGCTTCCTCTAATGAAAGGGCCCATTCTATTGGCTGTCGTCGAGGCAACTCGCCCCCCTCCCTCAGCCGCCGAGGGTGAGGCTCCGCCTCTCTCAAGTAATCCGAGTCGCAGAGCGTGAGGCGGAAAAGGCGGGGGAAAAAAGTCATGTGATAAGGAAGGTTGTCCTTTTTTCTTTTTTAAAGGAGCTCCTTTTCTTTAAACAAACAAAAAAAAAAACTTCACGTGATCTGATCCGACTGTTCAAACTGAGGGGAGAAAGGCCGGGTAAGTTTATAAAGAGGAATATTACATTGAATTTGGAAATGGAGGGGAACTTGGCACGCGCTCGTTAAAGACATCCTCCCCTAGTTCATTTTAATGGGTCATTCTAAGCGGGGGTTGACTGATCCTGGGGGTCCACTGACAGAATTACCAGCATTACCAGAAACCAGCATTTAGGGTCTAGTCGGAGGCAGTTAAACCTCCCACAATCATGATTGGATATAGTTCGTATTTTGAAAGAATCAGCCTGCCCTCCTCTGTCTCTTTCCAGCCGTATTTGCCTCCGTTCTTTTGCAAGAGGCCCGAGATATTTTTTTAAAAAAGGGGGGCGGGGGTGTTAAATATAGTTTAGTGGGTCATTTCTAACAATAACCCTGTGAAGCAGGCCGTCCGGTTAAGAATTTTTCTCCCCCGCTTTCTTGGAAGCTGGCGTGGGTAGACAGTAGATCTGCTGGGAGATATCAGGGATTTGTGGTAGAGATTCCTGAGGTTCGGTTGCGAAATGAAGACATCCACCAAAGGAATTTGCAGCTTTTCTCACTGTTCGAATAGAATTCTTAATTGGCCAAGTGTGATTGGACACAACAAGGAATTTTCCTCTGGTGCATAAGCTCTCAGTGTACATACAAACAAGAATTCATAATCATAAAATACAAATCATCATAAATCATAGGTACAACACACTGATAGTCATAGGGTACTAAAGCAATCGACACAAATCATAATAGGATACTAAATGAAGGATGTTTGGGATAATTGTGAGTTAAAAGTACTTTCTTCATCTGGGTTCTAAATTGATCAGTGCCTTTAACAGCATTTGTTTTTCTACCATTCTTTAATTGATTGATTGATTGATTAATTGATAAAAAAATTGTAGATACAATCCTCACAATTCATAAATATAACACAGTGTTGGTCATAGGATACTAAGCAATCAATATAAATCATAATAGATTGGGTTTGAATAGAAACCTTATCTGGGTTTTAAATTGACCAGTGACTTTAATTAGTAGCATTTGTTTTTCTACCGTGCTTCAGTTGATTGATGAAAATTTGGAGGGCCCTCCCACTTACATTCAGTAACTCTGAGTGGCTTACAAACATTGATAGGCCTTGTGGGGTTTTTTTCTTTAATAGATCCTGTTCTCCTGTAGTTGTATAGGTTTGGTATACCCTCTTTTTAAAAGTAGGTCCTGCAAATCTAAAGTCTGTATCCCCTGTAATTATACATTTTTTCCTTACAGTGGATCTTCCTTATTCCCAGCCATGGGATCCCAGCAGCAATCTTATGCTGATACAGCTCCAATTTTAACCCAGGCAGATGATACTGAAGGTGAAGGAAAAGACGATCTTCAGCCAGGGCACATAGGGAAAGAAGAAGTACAGGCCCTGACAGGGATATCCTCTCAACATGCAGGCCTTATTGTGGGGGTACTCTTTTTTATTAATCTACTGAACTACATGGATCGCTTCACTGTGGCTGGTAAGCATAATGGAATGGTAGCTGAAATTCTTCCAGTTTCTTATTTGAACTGATGAAATGGGCATGTAACTTTTAAAGCAAAGATAAATAGATTCTCCCCATTCCTGGCTTTGATTAGATCATTATGGATGAAGTTGATGAAAAGTAGTATCTTTGTATCCTCATTCGAAATTCTGAATTTCTTTTTCCTTGTTTCAGGTGTTCTTCCTGACATTGAGAATTTTTTTAATATAGATGATAGCAAATCAGGACTGCTACAGACAGGTAAGGACTGGTGGAATTGGCCTTGGTTGTCTTTTTTCTCCCTTTTGTAACCATTTATACAGTTGATATGGAACAGAGATGGAACATAAAACTCTTTTTCATTTCCTAACAGTTTTTATTAGCAGCTACATGGTACTGGCACCTATTTTTGGTTACTTGGGTGATCGTTACAATCGTAAATATCTGATGTGTATAGGAATCTTCTTCTGGTCTATTGTGACTCTAGGGAGCAGCTTCATCCCCAAGCAGGTATTTATCGGGTGTGGAAGAGGGGACTTCTGGTAAATTTCCAGAAATTATTCTTGAAATTCTGTATTTCAAGCTATAAAACTTTTCTAATAGGCTTAGTGATGAGGAATTCCATACATTCAAATGCATGAAGTTTCATAGCAGGCAACGAGAAGAGGAATTAACCCTCTGGCTGTTGCTGCTTTCAAATAGTTGCATTTCTGGCTCTCTTTTAATCAAACCTCAAATAAATTCTCTAAAATTAGAAAGAAATCTTTCTAAGGTTTCCTGTTTTATTGCTGAAGGCACTTTTGCTTTAAGTAAGCAATAAACAAATAACTAAATAAAGTCTAAACAAAGTTAAAATGTTTAATTCATAGCTCACAACCAAAAGTTTCAAGGTTCCTATTGAGTGTATTCTACATTTAAAGCTTATATCTGCTTCCCTATTGTTCATACACTGTTTTTTATCTCCTCTTCAGTTCTTCTGGATGTTGCTACTTACACGAGGCCTAGTGGGTGTGGGAGAGGCTAGCTATTCAACTATTGCCCCCACCATTATTGCTGACCTGTACTTGGGTGACCGGAGATCCCGCATGCTTAGCATTTTCTACTTTGCTATACCTGTAGGCAGGTGGGAACAGCCTGTGCTCTATATTTGGAGGGAGGGTAAAAAGATGGGTTTTTATCTTTGTTGAAAATAAAAAAACTAACATTACTTTATATAGCTTGCATATCCATATCCTAAAAGAGTTAAGCTGATAGTGTTAACTAGCTTTGGTGGAAGTTGGAAAACCTGCCAGTGTATAGATTTGAATGCTCTCCTGATTTTTTTCTACAGTGGACTGGGTTACATTGTGGGATCAAAGGTGAAAGATGTGGCTGATGACTGGCATTGGGCCTTGCGGGCAAGTAGAATTTATAGCTACTTTATTTTTATTTTTTTAAAAAACAATTTTATTGATTTTTTTTAAAAAACAAACAAAACGTAAAAACATCAGCTCTCTTCCATATATATATACAAACTGTGTCGATTGGTTTATCAGTTTTGTGCATTCATTTCGTAGTCTCAATTACAGTTATATTACATAATAACTCATATTGTCAATCCAAACTTATATATCCTAGTATCGCTATTAGAAAATCATTTGACTATAATTTTATTCATACTTTATGAGATAACTATAATTTAAATGGTTTATTCTATAACAAATCATATAATACCAAATCTATCCTAAAAACACTTTATAGATATGATGTCAAATAACAAAAGAAAAAGAAAAAGCAAAGATATTCCTTGTTATCTAACATTTTCAATATTCTATTATTGTATTTTATCATCCAACCATTGATAGAAAAGGTCCCAAATTTCATAAAATTGTTTATCCTCTTGCTCTCTAATTCCAAATGTCAATCTACTCATCTCAGCACATTCCAATATTTTCTTAATAATTTCTTCCTGCAATGGTATTTTCTCATTCTTCCAATTTTTAGCAAATACAATCCTAGCCGCTGTTAATACATTTACAATCAGATATTTCAAGTCTTTACTGTATGTATCTGTAAGATTCCCAATAAAAAAAACTCCGGTTTCAAATCTATGTGTTTCTTTGTCATTTTTTCCAACCACATGCGGATTTTAGTCCAATATTTTCTAGCATCCTCACAAGTCCACCACATATGGTAATATGAGCCAGGTATCTGATGACATTTCCAGCATTTTTCAGATTTATTCTTGAACATTCTTGCTATCCTCGTCGGGGGAAAGTGCCACCTGTAAAACATCTTATACAAATTTTCTTTATAAGCTGTTGACATTGTCATTTTATAATTTTGCGACCATAATTTTTGCCATTTCTCTAAATCAATCCCATATCCAAAATTCTTCCCCCAAACAATCATAGTTTCTTTAACTTGTTCTTCCTCTAGCTTAATTCCCAGTAAATAACCATATAATTTTTTGATCACCTTCTCATCAGTACCTGTCAAGATCTTATCTAGATCAGTCTGTTTATCATAAAATCCCTCTGTTTTAGAATCTTCATCATACCTTGAATGTATTTGCGCATATGAAAACCAATTCATCTTTATACCTTGTTCCTCTAAATTTTGTATCGATTTAAGTTCACCCTTTTCATCCAATAGTTCCCCATATCTAACTGTTTGTTCCTTCTTATAAATTATAGGATAGGAAAATGCTTCAATAGTCGATAACCAAACTGGAATTTTCAGATAACATTGTCTTTTTATCTTCTCCCAGTTTAACCACAAAGACTCCCGTATATAATGTCTTCTAAAATAACCCTGTGTTTTAGTTCTCTTATACCATAAAAAAGCGTGCCAACCCAACAGCAAATCATGACCTTCTAGTGTCAACAATCTAGTCTTTCTTAATGTTATCCATTCCTTGACCCACATCAAATTTGCAGCTTGGTAGTACAATTCCCAATTAGGCAGGCCAAAACCTCCTCTAATTCTAGCATCTTGCAGAAGCTTTAGCTTTATTCTCGCTTTCTTACCTTGCCATACATACTTCAGCATAATTTTATTTAAGTCTTCAAAATAGTCTTTTCCGAGCCTAATTGGTATTGTTTGAAACAAAAATAAGATTCTGGGTAAAATATTCATCTTGATTGTTGAAATTCTCCCTATTAATGACAATTGTAAATTTTCCCATTTCTTCAAATCTAAAGCTATCTGTTGTTTAAGTTTAATATAATTATTCTCTTTTAATGTACTACATCTTGATGTCAAGTATATTCCCAGATACTTGACCTTGTTCGTGACTTGGATTTTCAACAGGTCTGCCAGTTCTTCTCTTTGTCTTAGTAGCATGTTCTTTGTCAAGATCTTTGTTTTGTCTTTATTTATTTTCAAACCAGCCACCTCACCATATATCTCTATCTTTTCCAATAACTTTGGAGCTGTTTCTAAAGGATCTTCCAAGATAAAGGCTAAGTCATCCGCAAAAGCTTGCAGTTTAAATTCTTCCTTTTTAATTTTCATTCCTTTTATGCTTTTATCATCTCTAATATTTCTATTCAACACTTCCAAAGTCAATACAAATAGCAAAGGAGATAGGGGACATCCTTGTCTTGTGCCTTTTCTTATATTAATAAAGTCTGTAAGTTCTCCCTCCATCATTACCTTTGCTGTCTGCTTATTATATATGGCTTCTATTGCTTGAATAAATTTTCTAGCAAAACCCATCTGTTCCAATAGTAATAACATAAATCTCCAGTTCACATTATCAAATGCCTTTTGAGCATCTAGGAATATCAAAGCCATTTGCTTTTCAGGATGTGCCTCATAGTATTCCAAAGTATCCAGGATTACTCTCATATTGTCTCTAATTTGTCTCTTTGGCAGAAATCCATTTTGGTCTGGATGAATGAAATTGTTTAAATATTTTTTAAGTCTTTCTGCTAAGATTGAAGCAAAGATTTTATAGTCTGCATTTAATAAAGAAATAGGTCTATAGTTCTTAATTTGCAGTGGATCAGCCTCTTCTTTTGGAATAAGTGTAATGTAAGCCTCTGACCATGTTTTGGGTATCATCTTCTTTGACATAGCTTCATTCATAACTTCTAACAATGGAATGCTCAATGATTCTTGTAATGTTTTATAGAATTCTGCTGGAAGCCCATCTGGACCTGATGCTTTCCCATTATTTTGTTTCTTAAGTGCTTCAGTTAATTCCATCATTGTTATATTGCTTTCTAGCATTTCTTCAGTCTCTTTAGATATCTTAGGTAGGTTAGCATTCTGTAGATACTGTTTGACTTTTTCCTCATCAATATTCTCTTGTTTATATAGTTGCCCATAGAAGTCTCGAATAATTTCCTTTTTCTCCTTATTATCATAACAAACTTGGCCTTGGTCATCTATTAACTGCAATATTTTTCTTGATTCTTTCTCCTTTCTCAATTTATATGCTAGCCATCTACCTGGTTTATTTGCATCTTCAAAATAATTCTGTTTAGCATTTCTGATTTTCTGTGCCAGTTCTTCTTTCTCTATTAATTCCATTTTATGTTTAGTTATGTCCAATTTCAATTTAATATCCTTTTTCTGTGGCATTTTCTGTAATTCTTTTTCAAGTCTTTTATACTCATCTTCCAAGGCTTTAGTGGCTTACCTTTTCCTAATATTCTTTTTTCTTATATAATCTATTATCAAACCTCTAGCATATGCCTTCATTGTGTCCCAAACATTCTGCATTGAAGTATCTTCTTTTTTATTTTCTCTAAAGAAAAAAGCCAGTTCTTTCTCCATCCATTGTGTAAAATCTTTTTCCTTTAAGATAGTATTATTTAATGTCCATCTCGATCTTTTTTTTTGTCCCTTCCATTTAATTGTCATTGGGCTATGATCTGCCCAAGTACTTGTTTCAATATTTGTTTCTTGAATATTAGATATTAATTCTGTTGAGATCCAAATCATATCCAATCTGGACCATGATAAATGTCTATTTGAATAGAAAGTGTATTGTTTAGTTTTAACATTTCTTTCTCTCCAAATGTCTTTTAAGATTAATTCGTCTGTCATTTTAAAAAAGGATTTAGGGAGAATCTTTCTATTTTGCTTTGTTGTTGTTGCTATATAGTCCAGTTTACTGTCCACAATTCCATTAAAGTCTCCCATCATAATTATATTAGCATAGTCCAGTCCAGTTATTTTCATGTGTAGTTTTTTATAGAATTCTTCTTGTTTATCATTCGGAGCATAAATTGCAATCAAGAGTATTTTTATATTGTTGTCCATTATTTCCACCATTAATACTCTTCCATTTTCATCAGTATAAATCAATTTTGCTGGGATAGCCTCTTTAATGTATAGAACCACTCCTCTTTTCTTACATTGAGTCAAAGAAGTAAATATTTTCCCTAATTTTGGCTATACTAACAATTGTTCATGTTGTTTTTTAATATGTACTTCTTGTAGACAAATTATATCAAATTTTAATTTCCCTAATTTATGAAAAGTTTTCCTTCTTTTAACAGCTGAATTAAGTCCATTTATATTCATTGTAATCAATTTTTTCTCTTCCATGATTATATTTTATAGTTAGGTTTAGCAGCTCTCGTAGATCTTGGTTCACGTTGTTTTTTGATATCCACCTGTCCACCTACTATGCCTTCTTCTTTTTCAGTCCCCAGTTGTTCCTCTTGAAACTCAATTAATGAGACCTCTTTCTCTGCCTCTTCTTCTCTCCTTCCAAAAAATTCTGCGTAGAAAAGTTCTGCTTTCTCAATTGAATCAATTCTATGTCTCTGTCCTTGCCACGTAAACGTTAATCCTTCTGGAATCAGCCATCTATAATTCACTTCTTTATCCAATAACATTTTGGTCAGGAATCGATATTCTCTTCTCATCTCTCTCACTCTTCTGGGTATTTGTTTCAAAACCACGATCTCTTTGCCTTTGTATTTCAACGTCTTCTCTCTTACCACTTGTAATATTTGTGTTTTGATGGATTTTTTGGTAAATCTGATATGGACTTCCCTTGGTAAGTTATTTCTCATCGCATATCTTGTAAAAACTCGGTATACCTCATCTACTCCATCCATCATCTTTTCCTCTGTAATTTCCAAAACATCCGCCAAAATTTCTATAAAAAAAAATAACCAAAGGGAGCCTCTAGCCTAAAAAAAAATTAAGAAATCAAGAAGGAGCATAAGAAAATAAATATATATATATGAAAGAAAATTCAGTCTGGTTAACTACAAAGTCATGCTAAAGTCCAGTAAAAAAAAAAAAAAAGTAAGAGAAAAAAAAAAGCAAGCCTCAATTTGATGTCTCTTTAAAAATCGCTGCTCATACAGTTTTGACAAAAAATCTCACAGGTTTCTTCTCATATTCAGAGTGTCCTTTCAAGTCTCAGCAAATTAGTAAAAAAAAAGAAAACTCTCACCCAGCCGACACACTTTCTCTTTCAGCCTCTTCCTTTCCGGAGCTGTCCCGACTTCAGCAGCTATGGGGGCTGCCTCTCCGCCGCCGGCAAAAGGACTTCTCCCAGATCAACCAGGGACTTTGCGGTGTCCCTGGGATCCACAGAGTATGCCCTTCACGATCACCATCCCTACGGGACGGTTTAGGTCCGTTTGGACCAGCCAGGGGCGAAGATATCAGCTGCAATCTTGGAGCTCGATTGCAGACCGTATCGTCGCGACGCCAGCTCCTCCCCTCTCCCCGAATTTATAGCTACTTTAGTCAATGTTTGTTGTTACAACAAATGGAGTTATTCTGAAACTTCTTTTTTAAAAAAAAAAAAAAAAATTTTTTATTAATTTTAAAGACAAACAAATCATCATTAACCATTACATACTTAAACCTTTTTCCATTATAAATTTTACAAGTCAAATAAAACCTTATTTTATACAATATAATTCTATTTTAAACCATTTCCATATGAGCATACAAATACCTCTTATCTAATTTCTCTTTACTTCTCTTTACTCTTATTCAATTTCACTATTATTATTTCATCTATTTCTTTCTGACTTGGTTACCATTATTCTCATTCTGTATTTCTGCAAGGTTTTATTAATTCTCCCAGAAACATAAACACACAACACACAAACATATAAAAAATCTTTTAGGAAAGTAACTTGGCCCCAGGTACCTCTCTCTACATGGACTTCAATTATATTCATGCTCATCTTACATATCATTACCTATTTTATTTACCATTCTATATCTTCTATATTAGCTTCTCCACACATTTCACTCTTCTTAATTCTATCTTATTTAATCCATCTTAATTTGAGTCATTATAATTTGTATCTTTTGTCCATTCTTTATTATCCCTCTATCTCATTCCTTATAATAAAAAAAAAAAGAATTTCTCCTGAAATCACTAATCAGAGTATGATGCCTTTCTATCTTCCCCCTAAATTAATTAGATTAACATTTAAAATAACACCTAATACCCAATCTGATTCTGCTTGGTACATTCTATCTACTAATTTTTTTTTTTAATAAAAGAAAAATAATAAATCCAAAATGATTAAATACATAGTTAAATAATAGATCTAAATATTGAATCTTATAACATTCCCATTGCCTTTTCCAAAAACAAATGCTACTATAATAATTTTATAATAACATCAATACCATAGTCATATTAAACTCTTTAATTAAAATTCAATATTCTAAACATTCCCTTTAATATTTTATTAAATTTTAAAATCAATCATTACTAAACATTTCAACATTTTAATCTCTTATTAACTCTTAAACCATTCTAATTTTCTATTTCTAATACAAATGCTACAATACCATCTTATGTACCTTGCAAAATCTTTTTTAAAGAAATTGTACTTTACCCTTTATCCCTAAAAAAGATTCCTCTTTTCCCATCTGATTTCAAAACTTTGTGGCTTTTCTCCACCTTTTCCCTTTCTTTCTTCCCCCACCAGACCTTCCTACCCGCCCTTCTCCTAGCCTCTGCCTTGCTGGCTTCCCTTCTCTGTTGTGTTCCTTTTTTCTTTTGTTTACTATCATTATATTGATTTTGCACCTTATTTTTCTCTTTCTTGGATGTTTTTTTAAGTCTTATGTCCTTTTTCCTTCCTCTCTTTCTCCTTCCTTTGTTAATCAGCTTTGTAGACTCATTAAAGATGGCTTCTTCTTCTTCTTCTTCTTCTTCTTCTTCTTCTTCTTCTTCTTCTTCCTCCTCCTCCTCCTCCTCCTCCTCCTCCTCCTCCTCCTCCATCTGTTGTAGTGTTTGTTGATAGTTAGCAAGCGCCATTTCTAAAAAAAGGAAGGCTTCTTTCACACCATCTTTTCCATCTGTTTTTGTTTGCTCATATTCTTTTCTCAGTTCCTCAGCAAAAAAAGCCATTATAAATCTTTTCTTTTCTTTTCTTTTTCCCCTCTTTCTTCTTGCACCAACCAAGATATTTAAAAAAAAAAATAGAACAATCCCAAAGTCCTCAATCAATCCAAGCCAAGACAAAGTTCTCACTTTCTCTTCCTGGGGTAGTATCAATCAAAAAAAAGAAAGTCCAAATCTGTATCTTAAAGCCTTATTGGAATTATATTTCAGTCTTCAAATCCTTAAGGCATCTCTTCCAACAAAATCTTAACATATGAATATATTTTTTGTCCTCTCCCTTCCCACTTATCACACAAAGCTAGTTTTTACCTGAAAAAGACAGGTTTCTCAGTATCCACTTATTGATTCCGTAGGGAAGGAGAGTAAACTTTCCTTTCAGCACCTCAAAATTGCCGCTTATTTTCTCTTGTGGAAAGAATCATTCAAAAGGCCATAATTTCCAGGAATTGTGTTAAATGTGTCTTAGAGTCCTGGGTCAACCAAGAAAACTTTCACTCTCAAAGGCTTTCTCCTCTTCCTCCTGCGCATTCTTACCCAGCTGCCGGCTTCTTTGTGGCGGCCATTACAGACCGCCGCTGCACCGTCTTGGGAAAAGGGGGTTCTGCCGGCCGGGGAGGGGGTCTGCAACACCCCCAAACCCCTCTCCGGATCCCCCCTATCTTCAGCTACCCCTGCAGGGCAGCTTTAGCTCCGAACCCGTCCGGATCGGAGCACCAAAAACGGCTAGCGTAGCAGGGATCGCGCAGTGTCGCGAATCCCTGCCGCTCGCGAAGCCGACAAACCGGAAGTTTCTTCTGAAATTTCTTTTTACTTCTTTTTACCCAAAGTTAGACTGCAGCCTTTTCTCCAGTCATTCACATATATTTTTCTCTTTTCAGAATGTTTCACATTGTTTTGTTTTTTTTTAATTATGCCTTCCACAGGTGACTCCAGGTTTGGGAGCATTAGCTTTGATATTATTGATAACTGTAGTGCGTGAACCACCCCGAGGAGCTGTAGAGACACTCACTGATGCTCCTCTTCATTACACTTCATGGACAGCTGATTTGAGAGCCCTGGGCCACAAGTGAGTCATGTGACAGGGATCATGCTTTTCTATTTTTTTTCCCTGAATTATCTTCTAACCATGAAAACCTCATTTTAATGGATCCAGATCAGTGCAAATACTCATAAATTAGAGTTAAAAACAAGGTCTTATTTCATAACTTGCAGGATAGCTAGAAGTGACATGAAATTTTGTCCCTCCAAGTGAAAGGGCCAGTGGATAGGGCTGGATCACTGACATTTCTCTGGGAAACCACTTGGTTTGTATTCTTTTGAAGAACAGGAACTCACTACTCAGTATGAAATTCACAGGCTGACAAAGAACAACAGATTGCTGTGCTCTGGTAGCATTGGTAGGAGATTTCTACAAAATGTCTGGCCAAAGAACTAGGCATTCATGTATGGATTGTAGAGTATCAGACTTTTTATAATTACCAGGGAAGTGCTGACTACTTTAGTATAGTGATTAAGGTACTGGCCTAGTAACCAGGATACAATTAATTTAAGGCCACCCTTATTCATGAAAGCCTGCCAGATGAATTCGGCCCAGTCACTCGGATCAGCTCATCTCACAGGGTTGTTTTGGAGTAAATAGGCAGGAGTAAAAGATATGTTCACCATTTTGAGTTATACATAAAAAATACGTATATGAGATAGAATAATAGCAGGGAAGTGCTATTGAGGCTAGTGTGTGGATACTTTTGGAGGGTAGCATTTTTGATGTTTTTTCAGCATGAAAGTAAAGAGCTTTTTAGCATATTTGTCATTTTGTTCAAGCCAATGCTTGATAGTGCTTCTCAGCCTTGTGCTACTCACATAGCAAGTTGATTACTCATGGCCGAAGATAGTACTTCCCAAACCTTACCTAAAATTGGGTAAAAGCTATTTTTATTTAGATAAGGACAAATGAACCAAATACCCATCACATCAGGGACAATTAAATTCACTTAAAATTGAAATTTTTATTAAAATATATTTGAAAATATCCAAAAGTATTCCTATTGAGATGAAAATTGATTAAATTACCAGTGATATTTTGTTGAAATGACATAAAGATGATATTGTTTGTCTGGAGTACTGATGATGTTACCTAATTGGATAATGAAATGTCTGCAAGCAAACAACTAAGCTCAGAGAACACCAATCACTCCACAATCTAACCCTGAGCTACATATGTTTTCTATTGATATTGGTTTTACAATTCAGATAGTCCTCAACTATTCATTCAGTAAACATTTTGAAATCGCAGTGGTGCTGAAGGGACTTAAAACTGGTCCTTGAAGTTCAATAAGAGTTTCTAAGTGGTATTGGGTAATGAAGGAAAAAGTTTGGGAAACACTGGCCTAAGACTAATACCATCAGAAAAGTGCTGTAGATCAGGGGTCCTCAACCACCGGGCCCGGACCGGTACCGGGCCGTGGAGCACTCTCTACCGGGCCGCAAAGAATTTTTTTTTTAAAAAAATGGCGGCTTTCTTCACCTTTGGTGAATGCTGCTGGGATCGGGGATCAAGGACACAAATGAAAGAAGAGGAGGGAGGAAGCAACCGAAGCCTGTCCTTCTCTCTGGGTCAGCTCTCTCAGTCGCTCTCTCGCTCCTCCACCAGCACAGGAAGAAACTGCTTCAAAGAAGCGGGGGGGGGGGCCTTTTCCTGTCGCCGCAGCTTCCCCGAAGCGCCCGTTTCTCCCCCACCCCCACCCCGTCCGCCAGCCCGCCCGCCCGCAGTGCTCCGTTCTGCCTGCCTGCCTGCCTTCGTTAATGGTTGAATCGGAACAGCTTCGGCTGAGTAAAAGAGGCGAATAGTTATTATTCTCAGCCAAAGCTGCTCCCAAACAACCAGAAACTAAGGCAGGCAGGCAGAACGGGACACTGTGGATTGAAGCGCGCGTGCGCGGGCGGGGTGGGAGTGGGGGTGAAACGGGCGCTTCGGAATAGCTGCGGCGACAGGAAAAGCCC